ACTGTTCTATTGCTGTGAAAAAATGCCATGACCAAGGCAAATTATAGAAAAAACATGTAATTAAGGGCTTGTTATAGTTTTTGAGGCTTAGTCTATGATCATCACGACTGGAAGCTTCTTACTTTAATAATAATTACAAAAATACCCCCCAATACACAGATATATCCACAGGCCTATGTAAATGGAGGCAGCTCCTCAGCTGAGGTTCCCTACTCTGGGGTATATTAGGGTGACAATGAATATTAACCATCACACAATGCTGCACATAAGTAAATGGACTACACAGGCTTGTAATCCAAGAATCCCTTAAGCTTCAGTCTTGTATTTGCATGTTTCACCTAAGAAACCACAAATGGCTCAAACACCCTTTAAAGAGACTTAATTAAGTGATATGAACTATGCAGCCTGAGACAGAGATTAGAGAACAAGATGGATTTTCAGGAACAGATGTTTAGCTTCCTGTTATTCAGTATCACAGGTAAGAGAGGAGACCAGATGCTCAAAACCCAGCCTCCATTTCCTCATCAAGGTTTGACTCTAAGAGTGCCAATGTTTTTCTTGGTTTCTTTTGCATATTATACATCATGAAACTATCTTCCATCTCTATTTCCAATATTTCCAATATTTTCTATGTGTTTCTTATGCTGTGTATCCAATGGGGAAATTGTGCTCACCCAGTCTTCAGCATCCCTGTCTGCTTCTCAAGAGGAGAAGGTCACCATCACATGCAGGCTCAGCTCAAGTGTAAGCACAAGTTATTTACACTAGCATCAGCAGAAGCCAGGAGCTCCTTATAAACTCCTCATTTATGGAACATTGAACTTGGCTTCTGGAGTCCCAGCTTGCTTCAGTAGCACAGATCTGTGACATCTTACTCTCTCACAATCATCAGTATGGAGAAAGAAGATACTATGATTTACTGCTGTCAAAGAGTAATGCTTAACCACCCACAGTGATACAAACATGAACAAAAACATTCTCATCATCTCTGGGCCCCACTGATTGCCCCAATAAGAATGCACTATCTTCAAGGGTCTGAATAATAGATGACATAATCTCCCAGCATTCTTATTTGATATAGTCTGTATTTCATTCAAGTGGACTCAGTTCCTGTACAAGAGGAAGGAGAAAGGTGCAGATGGAAAGGATGGAAACAGGTAGCCAGAGTTCTGCAGTTTTATAACATCCTACATTCAGAATATTTTCCCTATTAGCTATGAACTATTATGAAAAACAAGAGCCTTGTTCCATGACCCAGTCAGTTACCAGAGACTGGCCATAACTCTGGGTGAATGACAACAGAGCAAGAATAATTATTCCCATACCCTTTCCTTTACAAAAGACTGAAAATATCATAACATATATTTTTCATAGTGTACATGTGCTGAAAGTTTTTATATCAACTTGACACAAATTAGAGCTATTTGGGAAGAGGGAGGTTCAGTTTAGAAAATGTCGTCACAAGACTAGCCTATTGTATATTTTCTTGAATGATAGTTGATGTGGGAGGATCCAGCTCACTAAGGGTGGTCTCATTCCTGGAATTATGATGGTCCTGGAAGGTATAAGAAAGCATGAACAGAAAGCCAGTAAGCAGTGTTCCTCAATTCTTCAATTCTTGGAATTATAGGATTATACCTTGCTTAAGTTCCTCTCCCAACTTCTTTTTGCGATGGACTGTGTTGTGGAGGTGAAAGCAAATAAACCCTTTCCTCCTAGAGTTGCTTATGTGCATGGTTTTTCATCACAGCAATAAAACCCTTATGAAATTGTGTCATTTTTAAAGTAGACATGTGAAATAAACAAGCAACTATGAGGCAGTTATGAAAAACCCAAATTAAGAAAAAGTATAATCTTTCCACTTTATATTTTCTAAATCTTCTTTGAAATGCTGACACATTAGATAAATAAGTAAGGAACACATCATCAAACCATGTTAGATCAGAGAAATGTCAAACAAAGATTTAAATTTTCTAATGTCTGCATTTAATGACGATTCCAGAATATGTTTTCTCATAGGCAGGTTAACTGCCTTGCTGATGACTTAAAAAACTGGTTGATTGTAACATGAGCAAGAGAAAGAGTTCCTCAATACAGTCCAAGTCCTTCATAGAGAGTGATGGTCATGTTTTTGGCTTAGGACCCAGACAGCCTGTCTAAACTTTGTGAGATAAGAAAAAGGAGAAACTAGAGGGAATAAAAAATATTCTCATCAAATTTTGAAGTATATCATGTTTTTAAAATGGGAGCCATTGAAACTTTATTCAAATTATTTCATCTTTTAATATTTTAAATAATTGCTTTGTGATTTTTGTTCTATTCTAAAATTATAAATTTTAATGTACTATATCTTACATATTTCATCTGTATTGCAGTGTATTGTGACATTGGCATTTGATCTAAAATATTATCATCTACACAAGATCATCTAGATTTTCTTCGTTTTACACCAGAATTTTCAGAGTATTTTGCTGTGTATTTAGGCTTATGACACATGTTGGGTTACTTTTTGTAATGTATAAGGTTTGCACTTGGTTTTACTGGTAAGTGGATGTTCAGGGAGACACAAAGGAGCTATGGTGGGAAGCAGCAGTAGCTCCTGAACTGTGTCCTGCACACGGACCTGCATTATATGTTCACCTTTCTATTTGTAAAGCACAATGGCCCAAGTCTTCCCTGCGAGTTTCTATAGGTTCTGAGATCTGTCTGGGAATCCTCTTTGATGTCAAGATAAAGAGACTTTTGATTTGGACACCTTCCTACAGATGCTGTCATCTTCTCTTCAGGGTAAGAGCCTGAAATCTAAAAACCTCCTTTGGGGCTCAATTCGGGTTCCTCTTCTTGTGTAGGTCCTCCTGTGTCTCATATGTGTCAGCAGAAAGCACAAGATAAAGATGTGTGTGTGTGTGTGTGTGTGTGTGTGGTGTGTATAAATATATACATTCCCCCTCAAAATACAATATTAGGTAGAAAGTTTTAATTCTTTGTTATAAAATAAACTGTGAAACCTGATTGGAATGAAGTCTGAGTTTATTTTCTTTCTACATAAAACTCAACTAATGAAACCCAGTTAAATAAATATAGGAAATGTTCAAATGTTAACTAGATGACCTGATCTATAAGTGATAAGTCAGATTAAAATTCAAAGAAATTGCAATATCACAAAAATCAAAAAAAAAAAAAAAATCCAGATTTTTGTCTGTTGTGCTACTATTTTTATCACAATCAGAATGATGTCTAGCAGGCAGGTGCCCAAGCACTAGGCATCCACCTACATAAAGTTTAAGAGATGAAATAAATTAATCACAGGATTCCTTTCTACTTATTTGAAAACCTGCACTTCTTTGGAAGACATTATCCTTTTACATGTAGTCTTGAGTCTCTAATCACTAATACTGATATCAGTAATTGAGTAGACATATTCAAAAAAGAAAAAATGGGACTGGACCATGACAGATGAATATGACTGATTAACATAACCAGCCTTGTGTGACTGAGTTTTATCTGTGTTATTTTTCCCAAATTATGGAAATCAAGATACTCTTTTTTGAATCCATATATGGAATCAAGAAACACAACAACTTAGACTTTCTTTGATATCCTATAGGATAATTGAGTTCATCATAAATGATCCAACACACTCCAAGAGAGCTGCACAGCTAGAGTTCTTCTCTTCATATAGGTCTTTCTAATGTGACAGAAACTTTGGTAGTGGATTTCTGACTGAAGCACACACCCAGCCGTCTGTGATCAAATTACAATGTTGAGTCTAGGGTTTCAAAATGCCATTAAAGAGCCTTCATTTATTTCTGAATATTATGCATGAGAAACCCCATCTCCAATATGGAGCACACGTCATGTGTTGTGAAAACCAAGAAAGAAGGATTAAGTTTGAACAAAAATAGTTTTAGAAACAAACCTCATTTGAATACTTACCTCAAAGAGAAAGGCATATTGGAAGTCATGTTTTAGGGGGTGGAACACTGATAAAGTATTTCACTATGTATTTCAGACTGGCCTGGAATTTACAATATCATCTAAGAAAGTCTCAGACTCATAAAATTCCTCCTGCTTCAGCTCTTAGAATGCCAGGATTGCAAAGATAATTATAACTGGCTTTGAATACATTAGGATGTATAACTTATTTGGGACAACAGCAGTTTTTAAAGGAACTTTGTATGCCTTGCATTGTACAACTCTTCCAAGCCTTCAGTATACAACTCACAGAACTTAAATAGTGGCTGCATTTGTGTTCAAGTCAGACTGTGATACACAAAATTACACTTGTTCTCTCCTTCATTTATTCAAAAGAAGAATAGATGCATAGGGTTTCTGTTTATATTTTCTGTTTCTTAGACCTCCTTATGCATGTTTATTATTACTCTGAACTGTGGCTCTAAATATTTTCCTCTAAGATTAGGCTGAATTCCATTGACCCATTTTATTTTGAATGGCTAGAGCGAGTAAGAATGCAATAATCCAGCCGGGCGGTGGTGGCGCACGCCTTTAATCCCAGCACTCGGGAGGCAGAGCCAGGCGGATCTCTGTGAGTTCGAGGCCAGCCTGGGCTACCAAGTGAGTTCCAGGAAAGGCGCAAAGCTACACAGAGAAACCCTGTCTCGAAAAACCAAAAAAAAAAAAAAAAAAAAAGAATGCAATAATCCTACTAGCCTTTCTGGTTTAGTTCCTGGTCCATTAATAACTATGTTGCCTTGTGTTCTATGGAAAGTGAATTTCACCATCTCTAATAATGTTGCTGATGAAAAAGAATGGAAATCCAACTTTTCTTCTGAAAAACCCTATATTTCCAACTCTAACTGAATCTGATTTATGTAGTGCCCTCCAGGGATTCTACACATCTCACAGTTACTACTGTTGGCTCCCCAGAGGGCCAACAGATTGCCTGGAGGGGAGTAGACCTTTCCAAACATCAGGGTTAGTAGGAATTACTCACTCTCATTTTAGAAATCAGCAGCACAATCTGCATCACAAATAGATTGTTAGAGAAGCAAATTACAGCCTTGCCTTCTAGAAAACTGTGAAACAATAAGAGAGTAGCAAAGAACAATTATGAAGGAAAGGATGAGTGAAAGAGTATTTTCAGATGCTGTGTTTCTGTACATAAGAGAACCTAAAGTGTCAACCCCAAAACTGTTAAATCTAACAAAAACTTTCAGGAAAGTGGCAGAATGCAAAGTTAACAAAAGCTGCAACCTACCTTTATACTTACAACAAATATTTTATAAAAAAGCCAAAGAAACAAATCCACCCACAGTATCCTCAAAACTTACCTTCAGGGGCTGAAGAGCTGGCACAGCAGTTAGGAGAACTTGTTGCTTTTGAAAAGACTCAGGTTTATTTCCTAGCCACCTACAGGTTGGTTCACAGTTATCCATAAGTCCAGTACCGAAGAATCCAACAAACATATTTAACATCTTTTGGCACAAGGCACACACATGGTTTACAAACTTACACACATGTAGGCAAAAGACTTAGAAACATAAAATAAATTTAAAAATCTTAAATAATCAGAGTAAAATAATTTTAAGTGGTTTTGGAATAAACATAGCCAAATAGTGAAGGAGTTGTTTATATGACTTTTAAATTCATCACAGTGAAGGAGGGGTTTAAAGCACCTCAGTTATGTATGTCATGGTGAACTTGGAAGCAGAGGACAAAACCAACAATGCCCATAGATAATTTGAAGCCAAGTGCCTACCCTCTGTGAATTGCTTTTTCCAGTTTGGACTCACCTCCAAAGTTTCATGACTCTTCCAAAACAGTGTCAGAAGCAGGGGACCACATACACAAAATATGAGCTTCAGGGATATTTAGCTTTCAAATCAGGGTACTTATTAGCCAGATATCATTTTTCTATAGCAAATCAATACTGCTTAGAATATATAAAGTGTTTTCTACTGTTATATGAATCTCAAAGATGCCAAGATACAGTTTACTCAAATATGAATAGTAATGTTTTTCAGGAAGTTCCTAGAATTCCCATGCCTATGTGAAGAGAAACGGTTTGGTGGTAGAGAACGCTTTCTGGGTTTTTCACCTGAATCCTCCTAGTGACCTTAGAAACACAGTTATGTTTTTTTGTGTGTCTTTTGATTTTATTTATCGCTTTTATTTTATTTATTTTATTTTTATTTCTTTTCTCTTGTGGCTTTCAGTTTTTATTTGCTTATCAGTTTTATTTTAAGTTACTATACAAAGTATCCAGTATCATTATAGAATTTTCTAACAACAAGTAGTTTAGTGGTTTTCCTTCTACCCCATCTGTTCACCCTCTGCTTACACTGATACTCCTCGTAGCCTCCACCTAGTCTGTCTCTTTTCCTCCCTCTTGATCCACTGGCCTTTTACTCACCCTCATACTTCCACATCACCTATTATTATACTTTCTTAGTCAAGTATTTACATGTGGTTTACCTGTAAGTATTTACATGTGAGGGCTGTAATATTTTTGCTATTTATGTTACTCTTCAAAGTTGCTCTTCTAAAGATACTCTTACCTGTGCTACAAATAAGCAGCCTCTGGAACTTAGACATCTAAAACATCCTGCTCATTGACAAACAAGCAAATGCCATTTAGGTAAACAAACCAACAAAAAGCCTGGCTTTATCTGTTACATTAACAGAGGCACCTGGAGGAGCAACTGGGCACCTTGGCCTGTCATATCCATTTCCAAGGGATGCTTATGTATGACATATATACCTGTTCTAGGAATATTCTTTCTTGTTTAAAAACAATACCTTTTATACAATATATTATTATCATGATTTCCTCTCCCTCATCTCCTCTCAGATAGTCTCCACTCCAACTTCACACCTACTTTCTTTTTCTCATTAGAAAACAGATAAATTTTTTCAGCTGCCTATGAATCAAAATATATGGCTCTCAACCCCTTCTCCAGCACCATGTCTGCTTGCATGCTGCCGTACCTCTCAAAATGACTAAAATGGACTAAACCTCTGATACTGCCAGCCAAACCCAACTAAATGTTTTCCTTTATAAGAATGTCTGTGGTCATGGTTTCTCTTCACAGCAAGAAAGCCATAATGAAGACACTTGAAAACAAACAAACAAAAAATAAAAAAACCCAAACTACCAAAAATGCCCAAACAAAGCATAATGTAACAAAATATCCTCAAAATACCATTGAGTTTATCCTGTGTTGCCCATCTACTGCTTGAGATGAGGCCTACCCTTAATTGTGATTTATATACACAGTAATGCTACCTCAGAGAAACTGAATTTTCTTTGTGAGCAATTGTCAATTGGAGATAGCTTTTGTTTTAGGGATGGGGGTTCATGTCTAGTTTCCCTCTGTGAAAGAGATATTCCGATGCAATGTCCTCAGACTTCTGTCTGTTGATGAATGGAGTATAGTATTTCCCAGATGTACTGCTACTGAACTTGTCTATGACACCAGGTTACAAATTTTATTCCTTAAAGATAAGAAGCTTAGAAGCTCTTAGTTTCTGTTGATAACAGACTAGGTATGGAAAGTGATGGAGACTCTGTCTCCAGAGTTGCTGATAGGGATCATGGAAAGCTGGTCATCTGGATGTCACATTTCATACCTGATAAAGAAAACATATAACAAACACATATGGTTAAATCCTGAAAACCCAAACAACACTTACAATATGGAGATATCAAATTTTCCAGTGTCATCCCTTCTTGCCTGAAAATCACAGCAGTAGGAGTCCTATGGTTGAGCAAGGTCAATTTTGTCACTGTTGTGTTCTGCCTAGGACTAAGTCCTACACACAATTTGACCAAGCCATTAAAACATCTTCAGAGCCCTAGGCTGTGCCCTGAACACTTGCAAATTAGCAGAGGCTGAGGAGGGCTGGCCAGAACTATGCGCATCTCAGTGATTCAGCACAGCTCCTGGAGTCCTACAGAGCCCAAGAAAAACAAGAGGAGCACATGTTAGTCTGCTGAAAACAAGTTCTTTTCTGTGGCCTAAAGAACATCAGTGTAGCTGGACAGTGGTGGCCTATGCCTTTAATCCCAGCCCTTGGGAGGCAGAGGCAGGCAGATCTCTGAGTTCCAGGCCAGCCTGGTCTACAGAGTGAGTTCCAAGAAAGCCAGGACTATGTAGAGAAACCAGGCCTCAAAAACCAAAACAAGAAAAAAAGATTAAAAAAAGAATGTCAGTGTAGAATCCTCTGAGAAGAGTAGTGTGGAATTTTTAACATGTGTTTTGTTCCTCTTCATGTGTTTTGGTTATATTTCCATTACTGACCTCGACTATCCTTTTGATACACTCCCCCAAATCTGGTGAGGTCTCATTTACTTCTTTCATTGGATTGATTTATTCCACACAGTATTCCTTGCTGTTACGTTTGATTCAGTGCTAACATTGAGAGGAAAATGAACAGAAGAGAAGAAAGAAAGAAAGGAAGAAAGAGAGAAAGAGAAGAAAGAAAAGAAAACACATGAGAAATTATCAATAATAAGGAAGGCACAGATCTCTTATCTAGCTCAGCCTGACTCTGCATTTATCAAAGATCTGCTCAATTAGTTTGATCAAAGCCATCCAAGGTCAGAAACTTTCCCACATCTCACCAAAATGGAATGGGCTTGCAGTTACACATACCTGACCCTGGTGTTTGTTTGATGCCTCGGATTACTGTTCCTGCCCTCTGTCCCTTGTCAATATAGCCTTTGTCTTCAGAAATGGAGAACCTCTCCCACAGGTGTCCATTTAACTATTGGATTTCCTATATTCCTTGCCATATTCCTACCATCAGAGACTCAGTTCCAGCTTCTAAGGGAACACAGTTGTCAATGGCAGGGACTCTGGTAATGTTTTCATCCTGGGAGAACAGGATCAAAACTGGATTTGTTTTCATAGTTGAAAAGTATGTGTCCATGCAGAAGATATTAAGTAGCAGCTACCAGGCTCTGAGCTCCTCTCTAGGTTTATGTTGGAATGAAAAGCTGAGAGTGTTCCATGAGATGCCTAAAGTGGCACACTGGTGGTCTCAGAGTGGAAGAGTCATGGAATGAGGAGGCATATCTTGAGATATCAATGACTCTGGTTTCAACACCTTGGTGTCTAGGTACTCTATGGAAGAGCTCAGACTCTCTTCTATTCCTCCCATGGAAAAAGCTGGCTTTCAATGTTTAAGCACATATAACCATGTCATCCATGCCACAAATTCAAGAAAGGTGGCTCCTGAGATGCTGTACATTGGGTCTTCCTAGGTAAAACTCTGTCTTTCAGAGTGGTTCTCTTGGGCCCAGGAGTAACTAATTCTCCCTGGGGTGTCAGTCCCTCTCCTGATGTGACTAGACCATGTTTTCCTGAGAAGACCAGAATGGTGTCATTCATCATGATGTTAAGTTTTCAAAGTTTTGCCAGCAGAGACTGATAGATGAGAAAACAAAATTTTGTATACTCGCCTCTAATTCTTTGAACTAAGCAAATCTTTTCTTATAGTACACATAGCCGTGAGAGTTATAATACAGTAACAGAAAGGGAAATTTATACACAGCTATAGGCAGAGGGAATATATTGAGATGCATTGAGTTCATTCTGTGCTTCCTATTATTGGAATCACAGAAGAGTTACAGTATCATCTTCTTAAGGTGATACCAAATGTTGTATCCACACACCAGTACAACCCCCTATTTAAAGATTCACCCAACTCTTAATACAACCACAGTAGAGAGCTTGTGTACAGCACATAATCACTTACTGTCAAGCCACTGTAGGTCATAAAAATGAAGGTTTTGGTCACTTTAAAATGTTAAGAATATCTTTAAATGTGTTTTTGAAACTGATTGGTCATTATCTTTTTGAAAGTTTTTTTTTTCAAATATAGCATTCTGCTTTAATGCAAAGATGGGAAATAACACAAGCAATTATCTGACAAATGGCAGATGTTTAAACTGCTGGATACTAAAGTAGTTAGTATCTTAGCAGGGATGTGATTATCCATAGGCCATTAAATGTTTGTTTCTTCATTATTTCATTTTTATTATCTTAGGTTTGAGAAAGGGAAAGATAAACTCTCCAGTTGAAGAGTTTATTACTTCTTTTAATTGTATTTTTTAAATTTTATAATTTAATTTAATTTTACATCTCAGCCACGTATTCCCCTGTCCTCCCTCCTCCCGGCCCCTCTCTCCCCAGCCCACCCCCCATTCCCATCTCTTCCAGGGCAAGGACTCCCCTGGGGATTCAGCTCAACCTGGTAGATTCGGTAGAGGCAGGTCCATAAATTTTTATAAGTTAAATAACACAAACTTGCTATATCAAATGGAATCATCTGAGAATAAAGTGAGGATCTGGTAGCCACATCCTTCACTATATTTCCCACCAATGACCTTTTCTCACATTGCTCCAAACAATCATTCAAATAGGATTTGGGTATAGTTTTCCACTAGTCTTCACATCCATTCTGAATTGGGTCAACTGACCCGACCCCATAATGGCTTTTTAAAGAAAAATAATATAGACTCCCCAATGCTATCTTTAACAGATTCCCCAATCTCTTTCCAGCCAGAACTTTAAAATCTCAACATTTTGAAGTTTTCCTACCTGTTAGTTGACAGAATACCCTCCTTTGTAATTGTTCTGTTTTCGTGACCGACTCCTGTATTGTATGTTACCAAGTGTCTAGGAGAGCAGGCACTGCAGCCTCTTCCTTGGGGAAGATGTACTCTGAAGAAGCAACAGAAAATCCCCTATTTCTAGTATCAACTTCTTTGAAATAATAAACCTCTTTCATTAATTATTTCTGTACAGCTGTGACAAATATCTGAGAGATGAACAATGAGAAATGACATTTATTTTGACTCATGTTTTCTGGAATTATAGCTCATAATGTGAAGAAAGGCATATTGGGGGTACTCAGTGAGCATAGTATGATGAAAGAATACAACAGTAGTATAAATGGATGAAGAAATGTTCTTACAAGGGTCTGTCTGCCATGAACTGATTTTTCCACCCAGTATAAACACAAAGGTTTTCTAAACCGCCAAAAATATTGTGAAAATTACTTAACATTTGAGGCATCTGACAAGTCATCCAGAGCCTATAATTCTGATTACAATTCTGTATGTGAAAACAGCTGTTAGGAATCTCTATAGAGCTTTCTACTTTGCCATATGACTCCCAACATATTGATCTTAAACACATTATGAGAATTACATTCAAAATATGCTACTGGGACTAAAGAGGAAGAGAGAGACTATGGGGCAAAGGAAACTCTATGGGCAGCTGTACCCTATTATCACTTGACTTTCTCAGTCTGTCTTTGCAAAAATAGATTAGCAGATGGAAGCAATAAGAGGGCCAGCTGGTGCCTCTGCTACATCCTTCAGTAGTTTATGTCATGGCTTGTATCACTGTGGGAGGGGTGCTCCAATACTGTTGACAGTAATAAGTAGCAACATCTTCAGGCTGCAGGCTGCTAATGGTGAGAGTAAAATCTGTCCCAGATCCAGTGCCACTGAACTTTGAAGGAATCCCAGATTGCAAATTGGTTGCATCATATATGAGGAGTTTAGGAGAGTTATCTGGTTTCTGTTGATACCAGGCTAACCAATTACTAATGCTTTCACTTGCCCTGCAAGTAATGGTGACTCTGTCTCCTAGAGATGCAGACAAGGATGGAGATTGGGTCATCTGGATGTCACATATCATGCCTGTGATTGGAAACATACAACCAATATACTTGGTTAGTAATTAGAGAAATGACTTCTCTGAAGTTTCAGTTAGCACTGATTACAAAAGGACAAACAAATTCCCATAGTTGTCCTTCCTTACCTGGGATCCAGAACAGCAGGAACACCAAAAGCTGAGAGGGAGCCTTCATGTCTGTGCTGTGCTGTGATATTGACTGAATCTTGGACAGGGTGTGACCAGACTATCAAGAAGATATGAGTGAACACATGCAAATCATGAGGGTATGACCAGACTATTAAGAAGATATGAGTGAACACATGGGCAAATCTGGGCACAGATGCAGGGCAGGTTTAACTTAGGAACTCAGCTGGGCCATGTGCAGGTGTCCCAAACTAGACCATAATATTTCAGACTTTACTGAAGACTATTTCTGAAAATGTTAGAGATTCTTACAAAAGGTATTTTGATACATTTTCAGCACTGCAATGGATAAAAACACAAGTGTAAATTCCCTTTATTTCTTTATTTGTGTCTTATCTGTATGAATTGTTCCATTTGAAATAATTATTAGAACACACACATCAGAAACACAAATAGATTCAAAATCATTTCATGATGACCTCCCAGCACTGTTATTATTTTATAGTATACTGAACATTTTTATGTCTATATAAAAGAATAACACTGTTTCTTTTAAAACTATTTTATTACAGGGGCCAGGAGACATGACACTTCTTAAGAGCACTTGCTACTTTTGCATAGGATCGAGGTTGAATTCCCATCACCCACATGTTGACTCAAAACTAAACGTAATTCCAGTTCAGGGGTATCCATCACATTCTTCTGTGTTGGTGGCCATGTCATGGGAGCTACAGTCAGCAATGAGCTTACAAAATATGTCCCACAAAATAGCAAAGACCCAAGGAAATTGTTTCCAGAATGTTCCTTGATTCTGCTGTGCTTCCTCTTGCTTGCGGCTGCCAAGTTTCTACTGTATTTGTCATGGTATGGTTATTATGTTAATGGATTCCACTATATCTAGTATAGTGTGATTATTTCATGTGAAAACTCCATGTGCAATTTACTTGCAGATTATAAGGAAGATTATTTTTATTAGTGCAATGATGCTGTGGTGGTATTGTATTCCCCAAAATATTGTGCACCCTAATAAACTTATCTGGGGTCAGAGACCAGAACAGCCATAATATTAAACATAGATGTTAGGCAGTGGTAGCACACACCTTCAATCCTAGCATTCCAAAGGCAGAGATCTGTCTGGATCTCTGTGAGTTCAAAGCCACACTGGAAACAGCCAGGCATAGTGACACACGCCTTTAATCCCAGGAAGAAATGGCAGAAAACAGAAAGGTATTTATGGCATGAGGACCAGGAACTAGAGCTGATTAAGCTTTTAGGCTTTTGAGCAACAGTTCAGCTGAGATCTATTTGGAAGAGGACACAGAAGCTTCCAGTCTGAGGAAACAGGATCAGCTGAGGAATTGGCGAGGTGAGGAAGCTGTGGCTTGTTCTGCTTCTCTGATTTTCCAGCATTCACCCCAATAACTGGCATCACGTTTGTTTTTATTAATAAGACTAATTATTAATTTTTATTATTTTTTATTTTTATTAATAAGACTATTCTCAGATTCGTGCTACATGATGCTTTTTTTTTAATCTATGCTTTGATTAAACTTTCTGAGTCAGCCTAAAAGATACAAGTGATTGGGACAGTTAGGGAATATGATTAAGGAAATAGTTTAGGCTATTCTACCAATTGCTCCAATAATAAATACAAAAACAGCAAAAGTAGGCTAGAAGTCACCTTCCTTTTTGTTATATATGAGATTTGCAGGGAATGGAGAATAAGAAGAAGGAAGATTCATGCATTATAGACCCATGAATTCTGCCTGTGGAAAAACAGGCTTATGTTCAAGGAAAACAATTAAGTCCCTACACCTAAGGTCAGGCTTGAGTTACTTGGTCATATAGCTTATAGAATTAAATACAGGCCCAGTCTGAACCTTGAAAAAAATGTGAAAAGAAATCAAGTGACCCTTTGTGTATAAATAAATAAATAAATACATAATAAATGGTTAGCTGTAGTCAGAAGTTTTCTCAGGTCCAGCACAGCCCCACAGTCTGTGTTCCTCCAGTGGTCCCTTGCCCCATGGTCCCTCAGCTACTTATAAGTAATCACTCAGAGGCTTAATATTATTTACAAACCTATGGACATGGCCTATGGATCAAGCTTCTTGCTAGCTATCTCTTATAACTAAATTCAGCCCATTTCTATTAATCTATATGTTGCCACATGTTCCCTGGCTTTACCTGTGTGTCATTGCATGCTGCTCCCTGGATGGAGGGATGGCATCTCCTCCACCTCTGCCTTTCTTATTCCTGTCTTTCTCCTGGATTTCCTGCCTGCCTCTAAGCTGACTTGCCATAGGCCAAACATATTTTTTAGTAACCAATCAGAGCAACACTTATTCACAGCATACAGAAAGGTATCCCACAGCAGTTAGGTACACCATTTGAGTAAAATGTTGTAGGAATCTGCTACACTGAAACCACAAATACCTGCATGCCAGTGCAAAAGGAACTGGCTGAAATATACTTGGCTCAATTAAAATTTCATTACTCAATTAAAAAAGAATCATTGCTTTGGGGTGAAGATGTGAAGGTGGGAAAATTAATACAAAGAAAAATGTTTAACTATTTGTACGTTTCTAAGAAAAACATATATTAAGATTTTAATTTGGTTTTGAAAAATATATAACTTGTGATTATGAGGTAATCTTTTTATTGCATAAAATTTTTTATCTTAGGAGGCATTAAAGGGAAAAGACAAAAATAAACAAATAGAAGAAGGAGAATAACAGGAAAGAAGAAGGAAAACAACTGGGTAGAAGAACAAAACAGAGAAAGAGCAGAGTAGGAGAAGCAGAAAGAGAAAGATAAAATGAGAATTAGCTTTATTCCTCAGATAAAGTCCCGTGTGTCTATCTATCTAGTAGTTCACTGTTTCCTCATCTCCTCTCTAGTTTTCTGACCTCCTGTGAGCTGTTTCTCTTGGTAGTTCTGGCCTCCATAGACACCAGTCACACACATGGTTCATAAATACACATGCATGCAAAACACTCATAAACATAAGCAAAACACTCTTTTAACAAGCTTTTGTTGTGTGTGTAGGGGGAGGGGAGGTGTGTAGGTCAGAAGTCAACTTGAGGGAGCCAGGTCTCTCATTCTACCATGTGAATCACAGGATTTGAACCTAGGTCTTCAAGCTTGGTAGCACCAGTCCTTATCAACAGAAGTATTTTAATCACCCCATAGTGTTTCTAAGTGTGTGTCACTGGGAGATTCATACATGACAAAACCTACAGATTTCAGTCTTATGCAACCATTCAATAAGCCTCACTCCATTACTGGTTTAGAGTTATTATTTCTAATCAAGCCATCATATCAAACCTTCTCTTCTGACATTAACTAATATTTCCCCTTATCTTCCATATGTATGCTGTTTAGTGATGCTGGTGACTTCAACAAAAATCTCTCCATACAATGCTGGAAAGTTAGTCAGCAGTTAAGAGCACTGGCCATTCTTCTACAGGTCCTGAGTCCAGCTACCAACACCCACATGGCAGCTCACAAGCATCTGTCACTGTGGTTCCAATATCCCAAATCTTCTTTTTTTTTCATTTTTCTTTATTAAGAAATTTTCTACTCACTCCACATGCTATCCACAGATACCCCCCTCCTCCCTCCTCCCATTCCCCAGCCCTCTTTCCCAAGCCACCCCGCATCCCCACATCCCCCAAAGTGAGGTCTCCCAAGGGAAGTCAGCAAAGCCCATCACACTGAGCCTAGGCAGGTCCAAGCCCCTTCCCACTGCACCAAGGCTGTGCAAGGTGTCACATCACAGGCACTGGATTCCAGAAGCCTACCCATAGACCAGGAACAGATCCCAATCCCCCTGCCTGGGTGCCCCCTAAACAGTTCGAGCCAAACAACCATCTTCCGTATCCAGAGGGCCTAGTCAGTCCCAAGGGGGCTCCATAGCCACCAGTCCACAGTTCATGGACTTCCACTAGTGTGGCCAGTCATCTCTGCACGCCCTCCCATCATGATCTCAACGTCCCTCACCTGCAGTATCTCTCCTCTCTCTCTTCTATTGGAATCCCGGAGCTCAGCCTGGTGCCTGGCTGTGGATCTCTGTATCTGCCTCCATCTGTCACTGGACAAAGGCTCTATGATGACAGTTATCTTATTTGCTAGGCTGGGCACTAGAGTAGACCAGTCCAGGCACCCTCTGCCAACAGACCAAGGTAGGGTCAACTTTGTGGATTCCTGAGAGCCTCCCCAGCACCCTGCCTCTTCCTATTCCCATGATGTCCTCATATATCATGGTATCTTACTCCCTGCCCTCCCACTCTGTCCCTGTTCCAGTTTGACCCTCCCATTTCCCTATGTTCTCATTCCCCACTCCTCGCCCTCTGCCATTCCTCCCCCCTACCCAGCTCACTCATGTAGATCTCATCCACTTCTCCTTCACAGGGTCACCCATGTGTCCCTCCTAGGGTCTTTTCCTGTTAGCTAGCCTCTCTGGAGTTGTGGGTTGCCGTCTGGCCATCCCTTCCCTCCCATTTAGTATCCAATTATGAATGAGTTCATGCTGTGTTTGCCCTTCTGAGTCTGGGTTACTTCATTCAAGATGATATTTTCTAGATCCATCCATCCATTTGCCTGCAAATTTCATGATATCATTGTTTTTTACTGCTGAGTAATACTCCATTGTGTATATGTGCCGAATTTTCTTTATCCATTCTTCAGTTGAGGGACATCTAGGTTATTTCCAGGTTCTTGCTATTATGAATAATGCTGATATGAACATAGTTGAGCATGTATTCTTATGGTAAGATTGAGCATTCCTTGGGTATATGCCCAAGAGTGGTATAACTGGGTCTTGAGGAAGACTTATTCCCAATTTTCTGAGAAACTGCCATTCCAGAGTGGCTGTACAAGTTTGTATTACTACCAACAGTGGAGGAGTGTTCCCCTTTCTCCACATCCTCTCCAATATAAGCTGTCTTCAGTGTTTTTGATCTTAGCCATTCTGACATGTGTAAGATGGTATCTCAGGTTTGTTTTGATTTGCATTTCCTTGATGAATAAGGATGTTGAACAATTCCT